ACGTATACGGCGTCTCTACGTCACTCCTCCTCAGTCCAGATATGGTCGCTTCCTGTTCACTGGTTGCAAAAAGCCAAGATGGCAACGGACAAAACGCCGAACTCAAGGCTTCAAAACATCCGTCATGAAGACTACGTCCACTTCTTACAGACAGTCTGTGAGGTGTCCTCAGAAAAGCCTTCAATCAATCATAGAAATACAGACGCGGCTGTTTTTATTATCCACGCCAACCAAATAGGTTATTACGAGGAACCACGGACATGTTCAGCTGAAAGTCACAACTTAACACGGTCACCCGTTAAACTGCAACACCGGCAGCTCTGATCCTGTAGCAACAAGAGTCTATTTCTGATCACCGAGCATGAAACAACCCGACATCTTGATGCTGGTAACAGTTTAAAATACGGTTAACTTCAACTCTCTGTTGTGTCACCACTAACACCAACAGCGACTGCTTTTCATTCAGATGGTTCCCTCCTTTTGGTCGTATAAGGGTTAAAAAACACAAATTCGTCTCCTCCATCTTGTGTCCCCCTTCAACAAAGAGCTTTCCAGTAACCATGTTAACGGCTAACAATCCCTAACTTGCATGTGAAAGGTGAGCGGATGAATGAAGAGAGACGAGGAGCCGGATTCCTCTCTCTCTGCGTTTAAACTATATTTAAATTTGACTCCATTAAATCAGAGCAGAAGAAGACAGAAGCGTTCACGGTTACATTCTCACGTCCAACTGTGTAATGTAGCACCGCTGCTTCTCATTTCTCATCATCATGCAAAAAATAAAGAATACAACCTGAGATTAGCCTCAAAGCTTTCACATCTATAAAACACGTAGAATATTACACACGATCAAAGACACAACCACCTCAGAAGTAACACTTCAGTGAGATACCAGCATTTGTTTTCACACAATGCATCTTGAATATCTCGTTAAGTGAAATAAAATACGACGTTTGGGCAAAAACACTTCCTGACACTCGTGACATAAAGCTGAAAATTAGCTTTTACAACTAATTTTAAGATTCATTTTTATCTTAAGAGGCCTAAATATTACTTCACATTCCAAGAAATCTTACCAAGCTGATGTTGTTTGTGCTTATTAAAAGCAAAGACACCTTTTTGGGGGTTTAACTTGAAGCCGCGCTGACAGAAAACAGACCAACGACGTGTGTTTAAGAGGCTTGAGGGGAAAAGATGAACTGATGATGTCACACCGAAACTCCGTCGACTACGTGAAGAAAATACGGACGACGCGAGAGATAAACCTTCCTGTTTCTGCTCATCAGAACCGTGGGACGTTTCTGGAGGTTTATTAGAATGTGAACGATGTACAGAGAGGAGGTGAGAGGGTGAGGGGGTGAGGAGGTGAGGTGAGGGGGGTCACGTGACTCGACCTGTGACACTTACTCTGTCAGGTGAAGCTGCTCTTTGTGAGCTTCTTCGTCTCGTCTCCAACGTGTAAACATCTGTTCCGCCAGACAATGTCCAGCTGTGGAGGAGGAGAAGAAGAAGGAGGATGAGGAGCAGGAGGAGGAGGAGGAGGAGAATAAGAATAAGAACCATTTAATAATGTATGTAAACTCTTCTTCTTTCAAACAGCAGATGGAGAGATGAAGATCAGATCATTGTGTAGTTTATATGAAGCACGTAAGGAGCTGAAATCATTCATGAAATAAGAACAAGAATGAAGAATCGAGATAAAAAAGTTTTACCAAAATATAGCGACAATAAGCATCTTTATGCTGAAGCAGACAGAGCGTTCTCCATAGCGACCCCTCCCTCTGGAACTTTCTACACAAACACACCTGAGACAACTGTGTTCTATGTTTTTGGTGTTTAACTGTTTTGATTTGATTTATTTGTTTGTAAAGTGCTCTATAAATAAAATGTATTATTATTATTATTATTAAACACGTTCTCATAGATCAGACATCTTCAACACCTCCACTTTTTCCCTGTGTGTAAATGCATGTGTGTGTGTGTGTGTACCTCTGTGTAAGGTGTGGTTGGTCTCTGCTCTCAGCGTGGCGTTACAGCTTCCTGTCTGCGGGTCACATGGACACTGGTCATCACAGCGACACTCCAGAGTGCAGGACGGACCGAAGAAGCCCAGAGGACACACTGACACACACACACACACACACACACACACACACACTTTGAATCCACATTACCATTCAGAAGTATCTCTTTTTCCAGGGTGGTGGTTCTACCTCGTTCACAGGCGGCGCCGTGAAAACCGGAGGTGCAGGCGCAGCGTCCGTTAACGGGGTCACAGGAGCCGCCGTTGACGCAGACGCAGGTTTGGTTGCAGCCGTCACCAAAGAAACCCGGCAGGCACTCTGTCAATGAAGGGAGGGGGGGGTCAATGATTACAATAACAAAGGGGGGAGGAGGCTGCATTTACAGGCTTTGGTTAAGCTAGTGTGTGCGTGTGTGTGTGTGTGTGTTAGTGTGCGTGTGTGTGTACCGTGGCTACAATTCTTTCCTCTCCATCCAGCATCACAGACACAACCATCTACAACACAAACAAGAAGACGTGAAACAGATTAACATTGAGATGCAACCAGCAGGAAGAAGAAGATGTTTTTTATGAATTTAGGAGAAATGAACAGACAAAGTAGTAAAATGTTGTCTCTCCTCCTCCTCCTCCTCCTCCTCCTCCTCCTCCTCCTCACTTACCGGCGGTGCAGACACCATGTCGGCCGCAGGCCGGCGGCTGACACACCAGAGAGTCGCAGGCGGCGCCCCGCCAGCCCTCCCGGCAGCGACAGCGTCCCTCCACACAGTCTCCGTGTCCGCTGCAGTCCGCCGGCCGGCAGCGCCGCTGGTGAACGCACAAGACGGTGGAGACGGGCCGAGCGCAGCGCCACCTGCTGTCGGACTCACTGAGAGGAAGAGGGAGGGTTAGTGTGATATCTTCATGGTGGAGATAGTAGGCTCGTTCCAGATGAACCGCTTCTCGCCTGGAAAGTAGACGAGATAATGTGGAAGCAGCAGGAGCGATTTCAGCCTTCAGAGAATAAACAGGAAGTCAAAGAAACACTCACTTCCTGTTAGATCTGTAGGCTAATTGTAGTTCACAGACCTCATTTGGATTCATTCATGTGTTTGTAAATATATATTTATGTGGAAACTTGCGTTATGTTTTCCATAAATAAGCTTTATTATTATAAACCACACGAGATTATGTTTTTAGATAAAACTTGTGTTGCACAACATGAGACTAATAGCCAACAATCGAGCGTTAAATATTACAATTACACAGAAAAATAGGATTTTCTACAAAACCTGGTAAATCTAAGAGCCAATCAGCTCTCTGATCAGGAGACAGCCAGCCGTTTCCCATCATGCATTGGGTCATGCAGTCGATGGAGTGTAACTGGCTCTAGAATCTACGTGAGGTCATCGTCGACCACGTGTTCATGACATCAGAGCAAGTCGGGGTCAAGTCGGACAGAAATCTACCCAGCATGCATTGTGCGGCGATGGATTGTGATCAAACCAGGCTCGTCTCCAATGAGCCTGGTTTGATGACACGTATGAAGGGTTTCATTGGCTCACCAGTGATCGGAGGGGTAGCTGGCCAATGAGCCGTCAGCCACGTAGGTGGAGGACCCGCCTCCGTCCAGATTGATGGCGTTGACGACTCCGTAGCTCTTCAGAGACTCAGCCACCTCCCACAGGTTCATGCTGCACAGACACACGACAGCAGGGAAGCTTCTTATTTAGCTTTCACATTAATATCCAGACAACTATCAGAGCAGGTGAACACGTTCACTTGAGTATACATTTTAATGGGTTTCAATGAACTTTCAGGGCGTTTTAGAGAAAACGACTCTCAAATACATTTAAGATGTTTAGAGTTTTAGCTTTTGGCACATTGAGTTGGAGCTTTGTATAAATAAAGTGCTCTCTGTACGTGCTGGTCGGCGACCGGTGAGGCTGCTGTTATTCATGAGAGGCGGTGAGTGGGAGGTCGTCGTGTTGGTCGAGCTGACCGCTACACGGGTTATTGAGCGGCTCTGATATCGAGTGAAGATGTACAGACAGACAGCGAACGTGTCCAGATACGTCAGCTTGTTGAGCTCCTCGAGGTCACGTCATCAACAGCAACGCATTCATCTTCAGTGTTGCTGCACTGAGGGGTCGGATCAATACTTTGGATTGGTCTTAGTGGGTTCCAGGTGACGTGAGCCTGTTTGTGTATTAATCTCACAAATCAAAGTCTGTCAGAGGTTAGAAAGCCTTCTACTGCCCCTCCATCACTCTCACCATTAGGGCTGATTCTCTGGCCCCTCCCTCTTCTGCTGTTTCTCCTTCGCCTCCGTCTCACTCTTGTTGTCTATTAAAGATTTATTCAATACATCTACTCAGGGATGGATTTCTGGATGGGGGCCCGAAATGTCAGGACAAAACAACTACAGAGACACCAATTGACCACAAAGAGACACAAAATGGCCACTAATCAATACAGAACAACCAAAAAACAACTACAAAGAGACACAAAACAACTACAGAGTCTGTGTTTCTTGCTCCTATGTAGGAGGGGTGGTGGGACCCTTTGCATGTCTACACCCAGGGGCCCGTTGTCTCATACACTTACTGTAGCGGACGCCCCTAACAAGCTCTGACAGCGCAGCGTGTATACACAACGTCCATCTTCATCTTCAGTGTCTTATCTCTGTCTGTGGTGTTCCCGTCGTCATAAAAACAATCCAGAGTGCACACGGTTAGTTTCCTCTACGTTTAGTTCAGTGATGCAGATCAAACCCTGCATATTTAATTCCCGTTGGGGCCACTTCTGTATTGACTCAAATTCCTGTAAGTCACTTTATGTTAATAGAATAAATGATCATGTGTTTTCTCTTTCCTCCACTTACTGAGAGAGCTGAATGAGAAGACTAAAGTATGACTGAGTGTGAGACTGTTACCCCCTCACTCCGGTCTGTCCATCGATGTGAAACAGGACCAGGTGGCCCTCGGCGTCGTGGCCCACCGCCGTCCTCGCCGACACCACGTCCACAAAAGTGCGGAATTTCCCTGTGAAAGTACGAGAAACATGAGCTGAACGTACAGATCGGGACGAACAGATCACAGATCAAACCTCTTCAGTCCAACCGCTGACTCAATACTCAGCATTGATCCAATAATGATCGACTGAGTTCATCATCCAGGTCCCAACAGTATTCTCCTCAGTCATGCAGCACAGTGAAGACTTCCATAAATGAAAGTTACATATTGTATATGATGTTCTACACTATCAGCCCTGTGTTTAACATGTATTGCTGCATCTTTTCTATCTTCCTGCATCATCTAGTCCATCCTACGAGCATCAATGGATCCCGATTGATAACCTGTAAATCAGAAGTGGACGTAGTTGTCGTCACATCATCCGTTGGTTTGTGGACTGATGTTTTGAAGCCTAAAGTTGTCAATCACTGTGTAGCCCCGCCCTAAAGCATCCCCTGCTTTATGGTCTGTGTGACTCTAAATGGACCATAATGTACTAAATGAACATCATGCTGTATTGAAGAAGACTTGAAACTAGAGATTGAGACCATAAACTCGTGTTTACAATGTTTACTGAGGTAATAAATCAAGATTAAAGCTGTGGATAATCATATAATCATAATAATATGGTTGTTGACAGACCGTCTCTACAGAGCGGCCATAAGGTTATAAAAAGATGAGGTCAAGTTTCAACATTATGTAAACAATGACAGATGAGTTCTGGGAAAAACAAATCCTTTGTTTACTTTTACAACATGTGTGTGTGTGTGTGTGTGTGTGTGTGTATGTGTAACAATAAAGAGCATAATGCAGTTAAATAATAACTGGATGTGCGTCGGGTCAGAGACGAGACGTCGTTACACTTAATTACAGGTCGCAGCAGGTTCTTAAAGGGCCGGTTGTGATATTCTGTATATTGTATGTAGTATGTTAGTGTAGTTGTATGAGGTACTTCTGCATAGTCAGTGTATTAAAGTAGACTAGTGCTGCGACTAATGACTGTTTTCAGGTTTAATTAATCTGCACATTATTTGTTTTATTCATTAGTAGTTTTAATGAAGTATAATAATGTTCTTAGAGCTCGTGTTATGAAGGTAAACAGCTCATAGTTCATCTCTAATATCTATTTATATTAACGTGAAATCATCTCCTTCAAACTACTGGATTTATTCAAGTTTATCACTAAAACTACATTTTACAGATGTGAACACATCATGATAACGTTATAATGTACCTTCAGCCAGTACTCATGTTCACTGAGCAGAGCCTGAAGGCATCATCATGTAACTGAAGTGAACCTCCGTTGGTTAGCCGTTAGCGGTGCTGCTAACGTTACTAGCTCTCCCCCTGTTGGTTAGCCGTTAGCGGTGCTGCTAGCTCTCCTCCTGTTGGTTAGCCGTTAGTGGTGCTGCTAACGTTACTAGCTCTCCCCCTGTTGGTTAGCCGTTGGCGGTGCTGCTAACGTTACTAGCTCTCCTCCTGTTGGTTAGCCGTTAGCGGTGCTGCTAACGTTACTAGCTCTCCTCCTGTTGGTTAGCTGTTAGCGGTGCTGCTAACGTTACTAGCTCTCGTCCTGTTGGTTAGCCGTTAGCGGTGCTGCTAACGTTACTAGCTCTCCCCCTGTTGGTTAGCCGTTCGCGGTGCTGCTAACGTTACTAGCTCTCCTCCTGTTGGTTAGCCGTTAGCGGTGCTGCTAACGTTACTAGCTCTCCTCCTGTTGGTTTAAACAGCTGCTGCTTTGCTCTCTGACTATGGAGAAGAACTTCATACAACACTTAAAAACCTCTCTAACGCTAGTTTTCATTTGTCTGATTAATTCTTCCCTCTGTTGTTCAGAAGCTCGTCTTCTGTAGAGTTTGATTGGACAGAAAACGTGCCGACTCTTCCGGACTAAATCACCCGTCTCTGTTTAGTTGTTCTCCCTGTGAGTGTGAGTGTACCCGTCTCCTGTGTCTCGTCACACTCGGCCTCCAGGCTCTGGTTAATGTAAACCTCTCCGTTCCTCAACAGCCACACCACACCGCTGACGAGCTGGACGAACGGGTTGGACTGGTCCAAAACGTCTTCCTGGGACAGATACCTGGAGGGGAGACAGATAGTCAGGACCTCAACATTCCTGAGTGTTTATGTTTCTACAGCAGGAGTAACCTCCGCTTCATGTGTCAAAGCTGCAGGGGATGCTTTAGGGCGGGGCTACACAGTGATTGACAGGTCTCTACCAGAGACATATACGTCACTCCTCCTCAGTCCAGATATGGTCACTTCCTGTTCACTGGTTGTGAAAAACAAAACTATTTGATGGATTGCCATGAAATGCAGTTCAGACATTCATGTTTCACTCAAGATGCATCACTCTGGTGATCAGCTGACTTTTAGCACCATCACCTGGTTAAATCCTTCCACCCTCTGTCCTGAGACCTAAGAAACAACCCCATGGATGCAATAGATGTCGCGTGCAAAGAATGGACTGAAACAGCAGAACTACAATGTGGAATATGTCTGCATATAAGAAGCGGACGTCACCCGTTGGTTTTTGGACGTTTTGAAGCCTCGAGTTCTGTATTTTGGCCGTCGCCATCTTGGATTTTTGCAACCAGTGAACAGAAGTGTCCACATCTGGACCGAGGAGGAGCGACACAATCCATCCAATATTTAATTGAAATGTTTCACATAAAACTCAAAACTGTGAACCTCATGGTGAAGTCTCCGATTTAAAGAATAATTCAAAAACACAATAATAATAATAATAATAGCAACAAAGAAAGAAAACAAAACGGTATTATTCAGTCAGTTTAAAAGCATCTTTGTGTCTCTCATTCTGACAACTTTAACCCAAATCCAGATGTTTAAAGTGACGAACTGACAGCTGGGTGAAACCACAGACCTCTCGGGGTTATTTCTTACTGCTAGAACGTTACCTCTGTTTACAACCAGTTAAAGTGTCCCAGTCTGACGTTTAGACCTCTGAACACAACTTCAGCTTGTTCCAGCAAGCTCACGTTCGATCTCCTTATCACTCACCTGAGCCGACACTACTTTTAAGGTAACCAGCTGTGTTGACAGCAGGACGGTGTTGTGAAACATCACAACAGGGAGAGAAAGGGGAGGAGCTAACAGCATCAATGATCTGGCTTTGCTCCGATATATGGACCTGGATATTTATAACGCTACTACGAGGTCAACACTCACCTCTAACACACACACACACACACACACACACGTTCTCACATTAAACCACGAAGAAAAGCCAATTTAGCTTGTGGTCAGAAATCTGTAGAATTCCTGCATGATGCAACGTCTGTGCAATAAGAAACATGTAAACACCTCACTCACACACACACACACACACACACACACACACACACACACACACACACATCCTTTTATGGTCTCAATCTCTAGTTTCAAGTCTTCTTCAATACAGCATGATGTTCATTTAGTAATTATGGTCCATTTAGAGTCACACAGACCATAAAGCAGGGGATGCTTTAGGGCGGGGCTTACAGTGATTGACAGGTTAACACTGGGACTCAGTATCACGGCTCCTATCTGGCTCTCTTACCCAAACACCAGGCTGCCGTCCCTCCTGATGCCAAACTGGGCGTTCTGCACCCCCCCGCTGTCTCTCACCATGCGACCGTCGCTCACCACGTTGCCGAGACACTCGAGCGTCTCGGTGTTGAAGAAGCCGGCGTTCTGGGCGTACAGACACCCGGCGGTGCTGCCGGCTGTCTCCTCCACCGTGGCCCTCTGCTTCATCGCGCAGCCGCCCGGCCCGCCGGGCTCCAACACCGACACCGTCCTCAGCGGGTCGCGAACCACCGTCACGTGACCTGGGAGCAAAGACGAGATGCTTTCAGGGACACTCAATGAACCAGAGGTTGGTCAATCAATCAACGCGTCAATCAAGTGATTTTTTATCTTGACTGACCATAAACCCGTCTGGAGCTTCCCGGGACGTCCGACACGAACACCGTGGACTCGGCCACCGGCAGCCCGCCGCGGTTACCGGAGGAGGGCCGGCTCTCGTGGGTGGAGTTGCCGTGGACGGCGGGCTGGCAGTCCCTGACGTGGCGGTGGGAGTGAGCGGGGCCGTGGGCGTGGCCACGAGCGTACGGCAGCATGACGTCATCGTCCAGAGAGACTCTACGAAGAGAGGAACGTTTTTCAGTTTTTAAAACATCAAGATGAAGGTAACAACTGTGGTGTGTGTGTGTGTGTGTGTGTGTGTGTATGTGTGTGTGTGTGTGTTAAATATAAGGTGTTTAATGTCTGAAATAGTTACTGGTTTTCATTTCATAAAAGTGTAATATTTTGTATGTTAGAGGAGTTTTCAATGAACAGTTAACAGAGAGGATCATAGAAACTACACCTCATCATCAACCTGCTTCATTTCACCGTTAACTCTGTATTTATGTATGTATATATGTGTATATTATGATATACACATAAATAAAGATTTCTCTCTTCTCTTTTTTAAGGCTTTGTTGGACTAACTGTGGTCCGACGGCGCCATCTCGTGGCCAAAGGGACAAACTACAGCAACATTTATATATAAACTATCAGTTTCCTTAAAGTATGAAACCAACACGTGATGACAGGACTCACAAAGTTTAAACATTTGAGATCAGCCTTTAAAATCATCACAACGCAGTACAAGTATAAAATGCACTAAATGCTATTAATGTGATATAACAACTAGTTTAATGGCATGTTTACTTTATTCAGACTTTAACTTAGTTCTTTGTATGTTCAGTGAAATAAGAGGACTAAAGGTCTTGTTGTGTTTGAAGGTTTGTGAACTTTGTAAAGTTTCTCAACAACTCTGATAAGAACTTTAAAAGTTAGACAAACAGTGGATGCTGTTGCCCAACAGCTGCTAACGTTAACTTATATCAGCATTAACTGGTGTTAGAATGGTTTTAAGTTCACAGGAGGAACATTTATATCCGTATAACTCAAGCTGTGTGTGTGTGTGTGTGTGTGCGAGTGTGTGTGTGTGTGTGTGTGTGTGTGTGTGTGTGTGTGTGTGTCCTTACAAGGGAAACGAAAGTCTGAACACACTTTTTTTTCCATTTTTAAGCTATGCTAACAGCTAGCATGGCTAACATTAGCAGCTATCTTAAAGACAGTTGAACCGGAGGTCTTACCGGGTGTTGTTGGTCTCTGACAGCCGGACAAAGAGCCACAACAGCAGCCAAACTAACGGATATTTCACCGACGATGCTGCCATATGAAGAGGAGAGAAACTAGCCTGAACTCCGCTCTCCTCCTGCTGGACCCATCGTCGTCATCATCCAGCGACCACACTCGTCAATGTAGAGGAAATAAAACACACGGCTTCCGGATAACTTTTACGAAATAAAAGCCCGACAGTTTGAGCCAAATCAGCTATTTTAGTTTTAGAATTTTTTATAAATAAACTACTTTTACTAGAAGCCCGTTTCGACCAGGTAATGAAAAAAATGTTTTTTAGTAATTATGGAAATTCAATTAAGTAAAAATGATAAGCTACATCAAATATTAACTTTAATAGTTCAAATATCGAAATGTTGACAAACATTTCAAACTCTAAATTTTAACTTATCTAATTTGACTAAAATAGTAATTTACTTTTAACCTAATCATTTTGACTTAATATCATAATCCTAACTTTCCATTAATATTTTTATGTCTTTTTTTCACTGTGTATTAAAATACATCAAAAATACTGTCAATGACAATAGTAAATGTTAAAATAAAAACATGTAGATTAAATATATAACCGGGGAAAAAAATCAAAGATAAAAAAATAGCTAGTTTTGAATTTTCTTTCAATGTTTTACTCTTATTTTGAAAGAAATATCCACACCTTCCGGTATTTGTGACGTAATATATGTAACTTGACGCAGAGCGGTCACATGCCAGTCATCACCTCGTGACTTCGTCACACAGCCACACGTCATCTGGACCGACACATGTAAACAAAGGGTTTTATTGAAGAACACACTTTGTTTCTACTTTGTGATTTTATACAAAGTATAAATGCTAAAAAATAAAAAATAATGCATACATGGTACAATTACACTCAAACTCATGTACTAATACCACACCGTGAAATATCCCATTACAAGTAAAAGTTGTGTGAACGTTCCATTTGATATATTCCACCATTAGATTATCTTTCCTCATACATTCATGTAACAGAAGGGTTGAATGGAGCGCCTTTTGAACTAATTATTTTCATTATTGATTCATCTGCTGATCATATTATCCATTAATCGATTGGTTTGTAAATATTAGTGAGAAATGGCGTCACAAACTGACACTTCCCTAAAAGATAAGATCCACAAATATGATTAAAAACAAAGCGACTGTGAAGTTTGTTGAGACTTTCAGAGCGTTCACATTTATCTCATAATAATCCCGATCAGAATCTATTAATATTGAGCATCCAACATTTGTTTTTGTTGACTTGTTTCCACTTTTAAAAGAACGGCAGCACATCATCCCGCATTAGAAACAGCGACACAATTTAAATAAGTTTAAAGTGGATCTATAACCTGCATCTCAGGCTGTTATTTGGTTGTTATTTATAATATGTTGCGTAGTGTTGTTGTGGTATTTAGTTGATTTAGTTGATGCTGCAGAAGCAGCCTCTCTTAAAGTCTCATAATCCGTCTTCAGATGTGATCTCAGACCTCGTCTCTGTTTCTTCAGGGTTTCTTTTTTCTCCAGTCCGTCATCTCATAAAATGTCTTGTATGTGTTTCCACTTCCTCAGATATGTTTCAGTATATCTGCGTCTTCCCTGCATCTCCTCTGACGTCGTTCAGCGTGACGTTTATGGAGAAGTAACCGAACAGAAGCCATCTCCGACTCGCCCGCATGCAGTGAAGCAGCTGTCGGATCAGCAGCAAAGAGGCCAGAGTGACGGTGATGATCAGCCATGTTTGTCTGTGGAGAGAGACGGCAGATTACACTTCACCCTCATGTGTGCCTTTACAAAACCATCAACATAATATCTAAGATAAAAGCCTCAGAATGAAACAAGCTCATGAAGATACTCAATGTCTTGTGATGTTTTCTCCCACTGAGCAGGAGAATGTCTGCGTCTTTGGAAACCTTCAATAAACCTTCTGAAGCACTTATTCTAATAAACCGGCTAGGTTCAGGCAGAACAGTGTTGAACCAGACTTTTAAAAATACACATTAAAAGACTCTCTTGTTTTAGTTGTGACATACATGGAGACAGTATATATATACATATATACACTACTTTAATATAGTTGCTGTTAATAATCAAACCAAGGAAATAGTTTGATGAACTTGCCACGTTTCTGTGTTAAAGTTTACAGTTTACACTTACAATCAACACATTAAATCAACCAGGAGGTTTATACTGTCATTAAACGTCAGTATAATGATTACAGATCTTATTTAATGTCTCTTTTTTCTTTACTTTATCTTCTATTATTTGGCCATACGTCACATCTTAAAGGAGGAGAAAGTAGAGCTTCATGAGTAACGTCGAACTAACTGACTGTCAAAATCATCAGTTATTAAAAAGAATATAGTAGTACAGCACTGTGCTATTCAAAATCATCATTTTGGAATAACTAACTAATTCATCATTGGTTGTCATGTTGACTCATCTTAAAGCTCCTGTGATAAATGGCACAAGGCGACGCATACTTTTTATGGCAGGCTCAGAACCATGACAAATATCTGGAGGAGTCACAAGGAGTTCCAGCAAAGAAACCGTGAAAGTTACAAACAACCAGAAATGTCAAAATGTTATGAGGTGTGGCAGTCAGTCAGTGTACGTGTGTGTGTGTGTGTGTGTGTGTGTGTGTGTGTGTGTGTGTGTGTGTGTTTGCATGAATGAATGAAAGCAGGGAGGAAACAAGGACGGATGAAAGGAGGTAAAGAAAGGATGTGGAGTGTGGAGCGTAGGGAGCAGAGTTCCCCCTTACTCTCTCCCACATGGAGCAGGTCAGGTGCCATCTTATAGGACTGGGAACACCAGGCCCAGGTGTTCCCAGAATGCCTAAACGACCCGACCACACCTACTGGCATCTGCAACACAAAAGACAAAGACAACCAGCCCAGCAGCCAAAAGAGGCGGGGGCCGCCACACCCTCTTGCACAATATAAATTAGGACACACACACACACACACACACACACACATTGCAGTGTGTCTCATTTTTGTACAAACTAAAACAAACATGTATTGATCAGTACTAACCAGTCCATGAAGCAGGGAGAGTTGTTGTTGCAATTCCTACAGGAGTATACAGACTACTTCACAGTTGTAAACGTTTGTGTCCCAGTGTAATTAACGTTGCAGCGCAAGAATGAAGGCTGGGACACGGTCTCCAGCTATGGAGCTCAGTGAGCTCAGTGTGCAGTGATGGTGCATGTGCATGGTGCACCATCACTGCAGCTGCGATGATATTGGGGAATAAAGGGATGGCGTCCGCTCAGGTGTTCTTTGGTTGCACTCAGCCTGACAGAACTTGTTGGGTATGCTCATGCGCCAGATTTTACCGCGCATGTGTTTGTACCACCAATGATATGACGCTCGACATCTCCACTTCAGCCGACAGGAAGTAAACACGGACCCAAGCTGACACTAATTCTGAGTCAGACTAAATGCCTACAATGTAAGGAATCTGCAGAAAGCCAGTCATTATTTGGGGGACTGACATGGAGGACTGAAGAGAATCATCAAATCTTCGACACTTACTCTGTTAGATAGACTTTGCCTCTGCACGTCTCCTCATGTTGTTGTCTCCATGATGCAAACATCTTCCTAGTCAAACAAAGACCTGCTGTGGAAGAGAGAAAAGCAGCGCTGTAAATAGAATATCAGATATATAACCATTGATTAGACCTCTGTGTAGTGTGGCGTTGCAGATTGAGGCACAGCTTCCTGTCAGCGGGTCACATGGACGAATCAGCATGTTACAAACTCTGGAGAATCAGTGTTATTGACTGATTAAATGGCGATAGCAATGTGCTTAAACTAATCTGTGACAAGACTGTTTAATGAAGCATTAGGTTGCTAAATTTAGCAGTTGGCTAGTTAGCTAGCTAGCTCGCTAATTCCACCATGATTTCACTCTACAGTAACAGAACATAAAAAAGAACCACATTTACATTTAGCCGGACTGTTTTGAAATTACCGTTCACGTTAGCCGTTACCCGCTAATGCTTAATTGATAGAATGCTAACTATTGTTCTGATTATGGTAAAGTCAGAGTGCTAAAACGGCCTAAACAGTATAAACTCTTATAAAGCAAAGGCTGGCATATGTGTATGCTAGCGATTAGCATAAGTGACTCACAGGCTAATTGAAGTGGTGACGACTACTCTTTACGTAACATACTCTATATTAGAGTTTATACATTTCAACCAACAGGTTGGGCCCACATCTTTACAGAGACCTGGATCCATAGTGGTCCAGGATCAAGCAGGACTCTGGTGGACTCTGTGTTTACGTCAGTGGTTCTCAAACTTTTTCTGTCGCGCCCCACTTTGGAGGAAGAAAAATTTTCATGCCCCACTGCCCCAACGAAATTGTAACAAAATGGTGTATGTTGAACTTTTATTGAAATAACATTTTGTGACTCCTCCGTCTGTGTTTTTTCAAATAATAGAATAAAGAAAATTGCAATCATTTTCAAGTAAACCAGATTGCTCCATCAGACAATAACTAATAAAATGTGCAATCACTTTGTTAGAACAATGCAAATAAAGTTATATCTGTGCAAAACTACAATTTGGCAAAAAAATAGCTTATTGCAATTGGCTGCAATTAACCTGTTTTGCACTAAACATCTTTTCAAGATAACAATAAAGTGCAACCTGTGAAAAACTAAACAAAAGTTTCATACTATCCGCAGCTAGAGTTTTCAGACATAAAGCACAGACTGGTCTCTCCTCATCTCCTACCGCGTTCACTGTGAAACACAGAGCAAGATAGGCGTCATCATATTTTCTTCTTGGCTGCTTGCTGTTCGTCTCGGATGCATCGCTTGCGGTTGCTTTTCTGTTCCCGCCTGCCAAATGTCTCTTCATTTGGCCAAGGATCATGGCCGTCGTGCATGCGCAAGTGTAACCTGTTAACGGCGTAACGTAAACATTTACACAAAAGTACAGGCATTTCGTCATGTATTTATTAATTACTTAAAAATTTTTTTTTTTTAAAAAAAACAATTAAAAAAATAAAATCTGCATTTCCCCCTGCGCCCCACCAGTAATACCTCAAACTGTGGGGCGCGCCCCTCTAGTGGGGCGCGCCGCACAGTTTGAGAACCACTGGTTTACGTCATGATGCTTTGTGCTCAGACACAGTCTAAGTTCATGGACGATGTTTCCCTAGTGTTGAAATGTTGTTATTTTAAGATGTCTGCCACATTATCTGTCCAGAGAATTGTTTCTGTTGTTTACATTCCTCATGAAGCGCTTCAGTTTCCTGGATATCTGGGATTCCACAACATGAACAAAGCAGCAACAGTGATTGTTTCAGCCATGACTGATGAAACATTGTCTACACGGAGTTAAACCTCTCCTGTGACGTAAATAAACACAAATGAACGCTCAGATCAATCTCCTGCAACTAACGCGACACAAAACAATTAACTTTGTGTTTGGTGTGAACACAGAATTTAGGTTGTGGGCAACAAACAAGGGATTGTAACACGTAGTCCTTAACAGAACTAATGTCGAACAAAATATCAGTATTGTATATCAGAAACCTTCAAAGAAAATGTTCTATCATGAGGCAGCGAGGACCTCTTAAATACAGACAAAGGACTTTTTAAAACAACAGGGTTCAGATTCCCTGACACTCATCCAACGTCTCTCAGCGACACCAAAGGTTCTCTGTACAGTCAACAACAAAAGGAACCAAAGAATGTGGATTCATTTGTAGTCGTGGTGGTGAAACCACGCACTGCAGGACAGCTGAGGGCAGTGAGTGCTGTAAAGTTGTCACACCACACTGGCTGAGCAACGGGTTGTAGAGCAATATCACCCTGAGGTGGTCGGAATCATCCCTGAAAGTCACAACATTATATTTCCAGATAGTTATAAAAGAATCTCCACATATCCAGCAGCCCATGACATAGAGATGTTACCCTCTTTTTAAGCTCTGTCCGCCCACGTGAAACAGGACCACGTTGCCTTCGGCGTCGTGACCCACCACCATCCTCGCTGACAGCACGTCCACAAAATCACGGAAAACCTCTGCAAGAACGTAAAAGTGTGTTTTAATGAGACTAAAACAACAGAGACTTGTGTTATCTGAATAAATATCCAAAAATGAACCCGCGGAATTGTATTTCACATTCAATTTCATTTTGGCCGGCTTACTTTGGCAGCGTTTTTTAACATATATTATTTCAAACTTTAAAAGTGATGAAAATTGTGTTTATTCGATTGCAAATGTTGCACATTTCGTCTGCTGCTGCTTTACCCATATCGACTATGTTGCTCTCGGCCTCCAGGCTCTGGTTGATGTAAACCTCTCCGTTCCTCAACAGCCACACCACACCGCTGACGAGCTGGACGAACGGGTTGGACTGGTCCAAAACGTCTTCCTGGGACAGATACCTGGAGGAGGGGGGGGGGGGGGGTAAAGAGATACCTCGGATTGTTTAGAAGTGAGGCTGTACACGAGTTACAGATCCAGAGTCAGTGTTTTACTACAGTAGATAGACAGACAGCAGGAACAGCTCGGGAGTAAATCAACGTATTTCAGACAACTACGAATCTATGTCAGTTTAAGTGAAAGCTAAGACACCAGACTCCATTCACTAAAACAGTGATTTTACCTCTAAAAGAGTTGTTGGTCTACTGCTGCCTCCATCTGTTGGTGTGTTTGTGTTGTTGTGTGACTTTGGTAAATCCAAGCTAATCCTTAACATCTCCTGAAGGCAACACACTGACTATGGATAAGAGCCTCATAGAACCTCATTGAACCTCATAGAACCTCATAGAACCCCATTTTAAAACAATCCGAACTATCCCTTTAAATCCCAAATCCATTGTCATTGTTGTTGTTCTTAATGTTCATATAAATTCTTCGATATATATTTATACTGTACATAGTAGTTAAATGTTTATGCTTAGTTTCTCTGTTCTACTTTGTTGTCTTTAATGTCCTTGTTTTTGTATGTTTTTGTATGTTTCTTGTTTATTTGTATATTCCATGTTTGTACGTTGAGAGCAAAGTGTAAACCGGAGTCACATTCCTTGTATGCGTACGTATACATGACCAATAAAGCTGATTCTGATTCTGATTGAAGGTCTTGTCACTACTTCTCTTACCCAAACACCAGGCTGCCGTCCCTCCTGATGCCAAACTGGGCGTTCTGCAGCCCCCCGCTGTCCCTCACCATCCGGCCGTCGCTCACCACGTTGCCCAGACAGCCGTACGAGGTGGTGTTGAAGAAGCCGGCGTTCTGGGCGTACAGACACCCGGCCCGCACGGCCGTCTCCTCCACCCTCACCCGTGGGGGGCTTTTCTCACAGCCACCGGGGCCGCCGGGCTCCACCACCGACAATGTCCTCAGCGGGTCGTGAACCACCGTCATGTGACCTGGAGAGATGACGATGATGCTTTTGATACAAGATGGAACGTAAAGGATCCACATAACCATTACTGCTTGACTCCATCACTGACCGTTGACCCAGCGGGACGCGCCCGTGCCGACTGGAGTCTCTGACATGAAGACGGTGGACTCGGCCACCGGGAGTCCATCGTGGCTCCTGGAAGGCCAGGTCTCATACGTCGTATTGCCATGGGTGGCAGACTGGTAGTCCTAACGTGGCGATGGGAGTGGGAGGGGCCATGGCCCTCGGTGTACGGCACAATAACGCCATCGTCCTCAGAGATACTGTGGAAAGTTTTACAGGTTAAATTTCAAAGATCAGGTCTGCGTCCCTATAACAAAGTACTTTGTTGCTTCTGAGACGTGTGGCTCACAATGAGAATGCTGTTAAACATACACGTGCCTGGTTGCAGATGGTTTACTTCATTTAACATTCTTACTGATAATGAAGACAACATTTAGAACAAAGTGAGGTTGTCTGCAGGATAAACACACCAGTCACCATCAGTTGATTCATCATGTTGTTCACACAATATTAGAAAATTGGCCAAAGTTGACATCTGTTAAATGTTTTTTTCTGACAGTCCAAAAGTAATTATTTTAAGTTTACAATTATATGATACAGAAAAAATAAAATAACAAGCAAGCATAAGGTTATAGACCATTAGACCATGACACTTCAGGCTACCTCGCGCTAATAACTTTTAATTTCGTTTATTTTTTAGCAAACTTCTCACCGAGCACCGTCGCTCTCCAACAGACACACCAGCAGCACGAGCCCCACACACGAGCAGCTCATTCGATGTTTAGTTAAAAACACGACAGCCATGGTCCCGCGCGAGGAGATCGATGTGACCTCCAACCGTCTGGTGCAACAATGCACGGAGCTACGTCCGGTAACGCTGACCTGTCTGTCTGTTGGGAGAGAATCACAGGCATCCCTTCTTATCTTTGTCGTTAAACCGGATTAATTCAACATTCCTCGCGAGTGACACACGAGACACCCAAATGATCCCTCGGGTGTCTCGTCTCGTCAGGCCTGCAGCTTCCACCAATTGTTCAAGCATTTATATGCAAATTAAGTTAAGAGAAGACACTTTATGAAAATGCTTTACTTTATTTATTTCACTTTCATTTATTGCTTAGCAAAAATAAATAAAACTACGACACACACTGAACATTATATACAAGAGAGGCTAAACACATCCTGGAGATTTAAATGAGGTGCAGCTCAGTGTACTATGGAGGCTACTCCTAATATTCTGAACACCAGCGAACAGTTCATGCCATAATACTCATCAGTGCAACAAAACCAAGTAACTGTCTGTTTGGTTGTTTTCTCAGTTCAGTCAATAAACATTTTCATCTCCTATTTGGGTCAAACTGATTTTTTCAGATACAAATTCTGTTTTTTTTATTTATACAAGAAAAATATTTTCCATACAGTTTAGGTCATGGAGCTTTAATGAGACATATATGTTGGGCTGGCTTCTTGCCATTAACTTTGAACTTCTTATCCTAACATATACATCTGAACTAACACTTTAAAACACCAAAGTCACACAATAACACAAACTAAAACTCTAAAATGTATCTCCTGTGTGGATTCTCATGTGTCTCTTTAAAGTTGAACCCCGCTTAAAAGATTCCTTGCAAACTGAGCAGCTGTAAGGTTTCTCTCCTGTGTGGGTTCTCATGTGTACCTGTAAATGTGAACACTTGTTAAAAGATTTCTTACAGACTGAGCAGCTGAAAGGTTTCTCTCCTGTGTGGGTTCTCATGTGTACCTGTAAATGTGAACACTTGTTAAAAGAGGTCTAACAGACTGAGCAGCTGTAAGGTTTCTCTCCTGTGTGGGTTCCCATGTGTGTCTTCAGATTTCCCTTTCTTCCAAATGTTTTCTCACACTCAGAGCAGCTAAATAGTTTCTCACCAGCGCTACATCTTGAATCACTGACATGAACTTCATCAGGTTTCACAGAGTTTAAACCTGACTGAGGTTCTCTGGTCTCCTTCCAATCATCACTGTCATCAGTGTCAGAAGAGTCTCCAGTCTTCTCATCAGAATCTGGTTCTGGATCTGAGTTCCTGCCTGGTTCTGGTCCTCCACAGTCCTCTCCATCAGCTTCTGTTTCCATCTGTTCAGTTTGTCTTTGATGAAGCTGTGAGGACTGAGCTTCCTCTTCACTCTTCACAGGAGTGAATGAGAACTTGACATCAGCCTCCTCTAGCCCTTGAAGCTGCTCTCCCTCCTGACTGGTCAAGAGTTCCTCCTGTTCCTCTTTAATGTGTGGGGGCTCTGGGTCTTGCTGTTCCTCTTTAATGTGTGGGGGCTCTGGGTCCTCCGGTTCCTCTTCAATGTGTGGGGGCTCTGGGTCCTCCTGTTTCTCTTTAATGTGTGGGGGCTCTGGGTCCTCCTGTTCCTCTTTAATGTGTGGGGGCTCTGGGTCCTCCTGGTCCAGACTGGACTCCTGCTGCTCAGGGGGAACCTCTTCTTTAACCACCAACAGCTGCTGGATGTCTGCAGGAAAACAGTAAACACACACAGAGACGTTACAAAGAAATATTAGTATTGAGCAAATAGTCTCCTGTACATACACTTGTTTTTCCTGCCATCATTCCCTCTTCCTCTCCATGTGCACAGTTACCAAACAGACATGCCGACACAAATTGTAAAGACACAACACACCAGCAGAAAAAGGAGTCATCAATAGTTTACATGGCAAAAAAGTATGGCACTATGTCACGAATTATGTCACGATATTAGTTTGTTTTCATCCTGTCTGCTTGTTTTATTAACTCTCCTGTCATTTCAGATCCTACCATTCACACCCGATCATCTCTCATTCCCCTCACCTGGTCCTCCACACCCATCTCACCTGCAGCCCATTCCCTCATTAGCCCTCACTATTTAGGTCCTCTCACTTGCACATGTTCCCTGCCAGATTGTCTTGTGTGTTATTGCCAAGTTCTCCAACGTACCTTTACATTGCTCATGATCTGCCTGTTTTGACCCTGTCTGCCTGTTTTTGACCTTGGATTTTTACCTGCCCCTTATTGGATTTGTTCGCCTGTTTGACTGACCTCCTGGTTTTGACCCTGCCTGAACTCTAGTAAAAGAACTGAACTTGTATCTTGTCTCCGAGTTGTGCTTTTGGGTTCTAGTATCTGTAATCCTTACAGTACAATCTGGCCTACATGAACCCAGCCGACTCTGCACGTCCCGAGACGGAACCTCTGACTCAGACCAACATGTTGCTAAGCCACGAGCAGCAGCTTACCTTCTTAGCAGAAGCAATGCAGGCTATGAGCGTCCGTCACGAGCGCAGCATGGAGTCTCTCCGTGATCATCTGATGAGTTTCTCTGCCGCAGCGCGGGGTCCAGATTTTGCCAGTGCTCCCAGCCCTCCTCCTCACACTTCTCCCATGTCGGATGCACGCTTGCCTCCTCCAGAGCGTTATTCTGGTGCTCCTGGTTCCTGCCGGCCATTCCTGATTTAGTGCTCCCTCGCCTTCCCCTCCGAGAGGTCCCGAGTAGCGTATATCGTATCTGTCCTCCGCAGAGTGGGAGAGACAGTCGTCGATCTGCGCTTCAGTCCAGCTATTTTCTGAGGAACTGCTGAAAGTCTTCAATCATGCCACACCTGGAAGAGAGGTCGCTCAGGGTGTGTTTGACCTGAAGAAGGGAGGGAGATCCGTAGCTGATTACTCCATCGAGTTCTGCACCATAGCAGCCGAGAGCAACTGGAAAGCCCCCTCGCTACTCGATGCCTTCTACCACGGTCTCTCGGACCGCCTCAAGGACAAGTTGGCGGCTCGAGATCTTCCTTTTTCCCTATCTGCTCCTGAGACGAAGACTATGGAGAGATATATTAATGACTCATTGGCTACAGGAATCATTCGACCATCTTCATCTCCAGCGGGAGCGGGGTTTTTCTTTGTCGGAAAAAAGGACAAATCCCTGCGCCCTTGCATTGACTACAGAGGACTTGATAACATTACTGTAAAAAATAGGTACCCTCTTCCACTTATTGCCTCTGCTTTTGAGCTGCTACAAGGTGCTACCATTTTTTCTGAACTCGATCTCCGCAATGCTTACCATTTGGTGAGAATCCGAGAGGGGGACGAGTGGAAGACTGCCTTTAATACTCCTAGTGGACATTATGAGTATTTAGTTATGCCATTTGGTCTCACCAATGCCCCTGCAGTCTTTCAGGGGTTGGTCAATGATGTTCTCCGGGATATGCTCAATGTTTCTGTTTTTGTGTATTTCGATGACATTCTTATCTTCTCGAAGTCTCAACAGGAACATGTGGTCCATGTACGCCAAGTCCTCCAAAGGCTTTTGGAGAACCAGCTCTTCTTAAAGGCGGAGAAGTGTGAGTTCCACACCACAGAGGTATCGTTCCTGGTTACTCAATGCTGGTAATATCCAGATGGACTCTGCCAAGACCAAAGCAGTTGCTGACTGGCCCTCCCCGTCCACACGCAAGGAACTTCAACGCTTTTTGGGCGTTAAAAACTTCTATCGGCGGTTCATCCGTAACTACAGTTCCGTGGCTGCTCACCTCCCCGCATGTGCCCTTCCGGTGGTCCTCTGTGGCAGCAGGGGCCTTTGGTGAGTTAAAATCACGTTTTACCTCTGCTCCCATCCTCATATTCCCAGATCCTGCCCAGCAGTTTATTGTGGAGGTGGACGCCTCGGACACTGGTGTAGGAGCGGTCATTTCTCAGTGGTCGGCTGAGGACCAAAATGTTCACCCCCTTCTGACGGTAACAGTTATACTCACGCTCATTGATCGATTTTCCAAGTCTGCTCTGCTCATTCCACTACCCAAGTTACCTACTGCCAAAGAGACTGCTAGAATATTACTGCAAAATGTTTTCCGGCTGCATGGTCTTCCCATTGACGTGGTCTCCGACCGGGGACCACAATTCACCTCTCGCTTCTGGTCAGAGTTTTGCAGGCTGCTGGGAGCCACGGTCAGTCTTTCGTCAGGGTTCCATCCACAGTCTAATGGGCAGGCTGAGCGGATGAATCAGGAGATGGAGACAGCCTTACGCTGTCTCTCCTCCCGCAACCCCTCCTCCTGGTCTGAGCAGCTCTTGTGGGTCGAGTATGCCCAGTTCAGCCACCGGGTTCTCACCGTTCCAGTGTGCCCGTGGATATCAGCCACCACTCTTCCCGGAGCAGGAACAAGAGGCCAGTGTCCCCTCAGTCCAGGCATTCGTCCAGCGGTGCCGACGCACTTGGAGGCAGGCCCGCTCCACACTCTTGCGCTCGTCCGGCCGCTACCAAAGGTCTGCCAACACACGCCATGTTCCTGCACCCCGTTATGCCCCAGGACAACGTGTCTGGCCGTCTACGCGGGACCTTCCCCTCAGAGTGGAATCCAAGAAATTGGCTCCTCGCTTCGTGGGCCCTTTCCCTGTTTCTCGAATCATCAATCCTGCTGCTGTCCGTCTTTGGCTGCCATCGTCCATGAAAATTCATCCCACCTTTCATGTCTCCAGGATTAAACCCGTCAAGGAGAGCCCCCTTCAAAGGCCTTATTGGATTTGTTCACCTAACCTCCCGGTTTTGACCCTGCCTGAACTCTAGTAAAAGAACTGAACTTGTATCTTGTCTCCGAGTTGTGCTTTTGGGTTCTAGTATCTGTAATCCTTACACACTACCCAACATTGTTAAGTATTCAAAGAACTGAGATGTGATCATGTGGGCAGTTATAGTTGACTAATGTACGTAAACCTGCCACCGTAGAAACGGTGGATAGAACCTTCAGAAGCAGCCACAACGTAACCCTGGACGTGCATCACCGTTTCTGAACCAATAGCACTCCACCGTGGTAGTGAGCCGGAGAGAACATCCACGTAAAGACGATGAAACTGAAATATGACGATGACACAATGTGAACTAATAAACTTCGTCTAGAGACTGCTCTCAGGAACCTATAGGTCAGGGTACACTCACTCATTCTCACACACACACACACACACACACACTAACTATGGTGAGTATTGTTCAGTAAATAAACTGTTATATTCTAGGGAGCAGATTTGTGTTGTGATAACAGCTGGATGTTACATTCAGTGCTCGAATTCAAACCTTCACCGTTCACTCTGGATGTGGTAAAAATACTTTGACTATTGACATTTTGAGTGAACACAATATTGAGATTATCCACAGTGTGGTTATTGGTCCCTGATCCCAGGGTGGTCCCTGTTATTGATATAGCTTAATAATCATGTTAATGTTATGATTATCAATAATTACATTTTCATACCAGATCCAAACACATTATCTACACAGGTCTGTATGTGTCACGATAACAAGGTCTGTCTACGCTGCATCCCTTTTACAGTGTAGCAATGGAAACTGATGATATAATATTTGAATAAACTCTTATGTGACCATGAACATATCAATCATTTTAGAATTCAACAATTTGCAAAATCCACGTGGTAACAAAGAGTAAATATATTCTGTCATATGAACCAACCTGCTCTGTGTAACCGGAGCTGAGGGATGAGAACAGCGTCCAGTAGTTTCTGTTGTCGGTCGTTCTCCTCTTTTGATCGAGAAAGTTCCTCCTCGTACTCCGCTATGGTTCTTTCAAACAGACCACAGATCTCCTCAGCAGCCGCAGTTAGTCGCTGGTTGACTAAACATCTCAGCATGTTAATTTTAGACATTCTCACTAAACCAGAGGGAAAGAAATGCAGCGTTACATTTCAGAAAGAGACCAAAACCATGTAGTGTTCAAGAACAAATGTCACTTCTGCTGAAAACGTTGCTAAAATAGCTAAAGAACCAGCCATCAATAACATTTAACATGAACCACGAGCAGCGCAGACAAGAGGAACTATTAAAAACTGATAAAGTCTAGTTCAAACTAGAACATGTTGACAGTGTGGCTGCTACTGCCCAAAGACATCAAAAATATATACAGTATATACACGCTAATATTACCAGTAGTATCATTGAGGTTCAATTGAGATATCGCTTCTCTCTTCAATCATAATTAGCGAGTTCTTAAACGCTGCCTGTCACTCAGAGTAAAATAAAATCACATGAAACAAAGTTATCTGTCTCGTCTAAGAAAGAGCTATCAAAATGCTAGGCGCAATATACACATGCACACGCACACACTCACACACACACTCCTCTTCCAGAACAGAGACATCTTTACATTACCATTACTTTGTGATGTTATCACATACAATTCTGACCAAGTTGCTATATCACACCCTCAATAACAGGACATTTACATGTTATCACAGAGTTTAACCGTTAAATGCTAATCCGTGAGCCTGCTAGTCAGCTAGCTAGCTAAATACATGAGAGTCACTCACTTACCTCAGAGAAGATGTCGAAGGGGGGGGAGGAGCCAATCACACTTGTCTTATCAGAAGATTCAAATCTGATTCGTCCTGTTGTCCGTTTCCTCCCCAGCAACAGCAGATTGATTGGCTGAAAGGTTTAGTCGATCAGAGTGAACTTCTCATTTTGGCCACTAGCGCGAATTTGGAGGCACTGTTTCACCCCTTCCATACAAGTGAGGAGACCCCGTTTTCCCCTTTGAGTGACAGATGTCCCAGCATCCACAGCAGCTGACTACAGTAAACAGCATTTACAGAGTTTTATCACGGCTATATCTCCGGACAAACAGTCAAACATATCAAACTTAAGTACGGCTTGTCAGTTGTATATATGAGTAAACAATTTTTATAGTTTGCTTAAGTTTTTTTGTTTAGCATTGTCAGGTTCTAACTGGGTTTGTTGTGGACTCATGTCTTTATGTCAAGATATTAAAAAACACTGCTGAGGAGAAAAATGCCCAAATAATAAAACTAAAACAAATACATTTACATCACACATAGATCCCTCCTGCATGGATTGGATTTTAAATGTTGTAAATTTGAAAATAAACACAGTAGCGCTTTCAAGTATTTTTTCAAAATAAAATGACAGACGCTAGATATTAAGTTACTGCGATAACTAGTCTGTCTTATCTTCGTCTCTTTTACAGGAGATCCAAAGGAAATAAAATACAAAATATATGTTATTTTTGCAACGGTTCAGATCCGTGTGAGCTGCTAGTAGAATATTTGCTACTCTTATTTTGGAGGCAGTATGGTTGCATTTCCGGTATTGGTACGGATGCGGATCACGTCTGTGACCTGCTACTTTCTGCGTGATTTTAACATAAAAACAACCACATTTACGGTTGTTATTCTTTTAGATAATAGTGGTCAGTTACCTTTATGTCTATAAATGATTTTAAATTCATCGGTATATATTTTCAGCAGCTCTCGTTAAATTCAAAAGAAGCGGACTTTAAATCCCGTCGGCGTTGGTTGCGCGGGGGAATGTTTTTATTGTGACACAAAGGGTGAAAGTTGAAGGTGGAAACATGGCCGCTGGAATCAGCGTTAAACATGGATTATTACGCAATAAAACGTCGCTGTATCGCGCTCTTCACAGACAGATTTCACCCAGCAGCGTTCGTCTCCAGCGAGCTGCGGGTGTTCAGAGCGTGAGAGCCGCGAGCAGCGCGACAACCGACTCTCAGACGTACTGCATGGAGCTGGTGAGGTGGGTCTGACTGCTAGCTAATGCTAACAACAGTTAGCATTACAGCCAGACACGTCACGATGTGTCCCATAGCTAGTTTAAAGAGATACAGCGCTCCTATTAAATGACGTCACAACACATTATGACGTAAAACTGTGAACGTTTTTTTTTTTTTTAAACTATAACTCCATTACTCTGTTGTTTGGTTAAATCATTGCACTACTATTTAGTTAGTTAAGTTAATATTCTATTTCAGTGTATATATTTTGTATTTTATATTTAATATTGTACTCTGTTATTTTATTTACCTGTGCCATAAATGTCCCCTTGCGGGATTAATAAAGTATCTGTCTGTCTCTGTCTATCAAAAAACAACAACTTTTGTTTGTTTGAAAAATATTGTATGTATTCTTGTACACCTGAACAAAATAATGGTAAAAGTAGAAACTGGCAAAGTACTGAGTTTTTGATGTGAAGTTATGGAAATGATTTGAAAATACAGAATGAACTTTAACTTTAGAAGAATGTCATCAACTGCACCTTATCAGTCTGTCCTCCTCCTCCTCCTCCTCCTCAGGTCCAGAGACTATGACGGCTACGTGTCCTCCCTGCTCCTCCCAGTGGAGGCGCGGCGCTCCTCTTTGGCTCTGAGAGCCTTTAATGTGGAGCTGGCACAGGCAGGTAGTCCAACAGCGCGGCTGGATGAGGAATGACTACTGATAATACTACCTCCACCAATACTTCTGTTACTACCGCTGCTCCTGTTTCTATGATAAAAGCCTGGGATTCCTTTTAGCTCGTCGAGCAATGTCTTTCCTACATTTGTTTCTCCACAAGGTGAAGGACTCTGTTTCCCAGAAGACCATTGGGTTGATGCGAATGCAGTTCTGGAAGGCGGCCATCGAAGAAATCTACAGAGACGAGCCTCCGAACCAGCCGGTCAGCACCGAGTTGTGGAGGGTAAATACCTGCAGACAGCAGAACATTCAATCTATGAAGGGTTTGGTTCCCAGAGTAACAGCAGCAAAGGCTGTTGGGATGTTTAAACGCTTCAGCTGAGTAACAGTGCGGATGATGTTTTGCAGGCGGTGAGGAAACATTACCTGACAAAGAGATGGCTGCTGAGGATCATAACAGAGAGAGTAAGACACACCTCCACATGTAGATGATCAGTCTCTTGCTGCAGCATGTAGTTATGCTGATAGGAGACGACATGTTTCTAAAAATCAAAGGATATTTTCAGTAATTCCTCTAATTCTCTGATGAAATACGGGATTGTTTTACTTGGCGTCTTCACCTTTAAGTTGAACTGTTCACGGTTCATATGCAACCTCCGGTTCTGAAAAGACTTCTTCAGGACCCAAGATGGCGACGGCTACAAACCAAGATGGTGACAGATAAAAACCAAGATGGCGACTGTAAAATTGCCGAACTCGAGACTTCAAACCAATGGGTGTTGCACTGTGACTGAGTCCGCTTCTTATACAGCCTGAATGTTTTCAACCTGTAACGATCCTAAATGCCTCGTTAAAAGTGGACGATGCGTTCTTTTAAACCACTGCTTTCTTTAAAGACGAACTCTGAAATCGAACAAGTTACCGTTTAGAGTAACGACCTTGAAAATTGTGTTTCACTAGGAGACGGGTCTGGATGACCGAGCCTACAGAAACCTGCAGGAGCTGGAGACGTACTCGGAGAACACACAGTCCTCTTTAATTTACCTGCTGCTGGAGTGTTTAGGTGAGTGACTGTAAAACATGTCCTCTCTGTTGGCTTTGCTACATACTGAATCCTTCCTTCTGATTGTGAGCTCATTAGTCACAGTTACGATAAGTTGCTCCCCGGCTTCAGAAAACTACCAAAGAAAGCTCACCAATTTTACTTTAAATGTGTATATATATCAGTCTACTTTTTATGTCTTTGTTTTAAATCGGTTTCATGTTTTTATACAAAAGAAGCTTCACACACACACCTTATCAGAGCTGAATATTTGTAGTGTTTACAGTCATTAGTTCCATTTTTAAATGGTTGTAGATCTAGCGCTTCAAGTAAATTGTAGGATACCAGCCAACTTTAATAAATAAAACACAATTTCCCAACAAAATAATTGTGGCCAAAAACCAAGATGGCGACGTCCAAAAACCAAATAGTTCGTATGTGAGGATAGAGGTCAGTGGTGGGACTTGGTGAGAACGTTTTATTCTTTTCAAAGCACGCAGGAGAAAGTAAGGCTATCAAATCAAAGTGTTTGTGTTTTTGTGCAGGGTTGAAAAACGTCCACGCCGACCACGCAGCGAGCCACATCGGTAAAGCTCAGGGGATCGTGACGTGTCTGAGGGCGACTCCGTATCACAGCAGCCGACGCAAAGTCTACCTTCCCATGGACGTCTGCATGCTGGTGAGTCCACGGATCACTTCGTGGTGAACGTTGTAATGGTTCAAAGGCACGGAGAGGGTTGTTCACCGAGTGTCTGTACCGTTACGCAAACAATGTCTTTCTCTGAGAAACATCATCTTCTTTAAATTTTTCATGAAAATGAGCTTGAGTTAAATACAGAACGTTGCCCAAATAACATATAGTATAAAGTCAGAGATAATCAAATAATTAGTAAAGAAGACATTCAGGGCTTCAGCTTTCAAAACACGACACTTGATGCAATCAATGGAGTCATTTCTGTCGTTACCCAGAAAGCTTTGAGGCCCGATCCCCAGCTTTACTCTCCTCACAGGAGGAAACAGAATCACTCTTTAAAGTGTAGGAACAAAGAGCTTTACAATCAGTTCAACCATTTAAAAAGGATTATGTTTATTCATGTACAACTTGCATGTACTGCTAGTAATATGAAACAATTAAATTATGTATTCAATATAGTTATAATAATGAAATATACTGACACTGCAGGTGTCACTTGTCAGTGATCGGCATCTTCTTGCAGCAGGAGGCAGTTTCTTTTGGATATGTGAGGAAGTCAAATCTGTTCATTTTACTATCAAAAGAATCTGTGTGTATATCTCCCACACATGAACCATTCAGCTCACGTTCTCCGTGCAGGACGACTTCCTCATCACTGAAGAAGAAAAACAAGATTAAATGTCGTGTTTAACAAGCAGACAGACAACAGAATGTGTTTTACTGTAAGACTCGATATATATTCATATATCATAACGCACAGAGACTGAAGAGCCACTCTCATTTCATCAGACATCCAAACACACACCAACAATCACACAAAATCAGGACATCATTTTGAGTTTTTTTTATTCCTGGGTTAGCCATCATTGTCTGCACAATAGATACAATAAGACAAACCTTTATTCTGTTGGTGCAGCAGCACAAGGACAGAAATACATGCAGATAAACATATAAAGAAAGAAATCTACAATCAGAGGAATAAATCAAAAAGAGATTCTCCCTAGTGTCCACCAGGGGGCGACTCCTCTGGTTGTATAGAAGTCTATGAGAAAATGACTCTACTTCTCTCTTGATTTATTACCTCAGTAAACATTGTAAACATGAGTTTATGGTCTCAATCTCTAGTTTCAAGTCTTCTTCAATACAGCATGATGTTCATTTAGCAACTTATGGTCCTGCTGCTGGTCTGCTGCTGCCTCCATCTGTTACTGTGTTTGTGTTGTGTGATTTTTAGTGAATCTGAACTAACTCTTTAAAACACAAAAGTCACACAATACCACAAACACAGTAACCGATGGAGGCGGCGGTAGACCAGCAGCTCCTGTGTTCTGTAATGTAAACTACTGTTTTTATCAATGCAGTCTGGTGTGTTTGAAGATAACATAGAGCTCCTCAGGACTCAGGAGCTGCTGGTCTCCTGCTGCCTCCATGTTTGTTTGTGTGTTTTAAAGCGTTTAACATCACGTAACCTGCACATGAATAATCATGTTTCATTAAGACTCACAGAAATATGCACCTTTATTTATGACAGTAGGATAAACTGATTTTATTTCCTCGCATATCCAAAAGAAACTGATGGCGATCACTGGGATCCATTTTATTATATTATTTGCGTCATATCTTTCTAAATTTGAGCTTCAGTGTTTGTGTACATTTCATTAATATGCCCTTGTATAATTATATTGAATAAATCATTAAAATACAAGACATATTTTTCCAGGGTCAGCAGAAAAAAAAGCCGACCACTTACTGAAGACATTTTATATCCAAGGCCGTCTTCTTGTTCATTCATTCATTCATTCCAACTCCAGGAAGAGGAAGCCTTATGAAGAGGAAACGTTATCGTCCTGTAGGCAGAGTGAAGTAAAATGTATACCAAGTAAAAGAGAGATCAGCGTTGTTGTTTTTAAGTATTTGTGTTCCCGTGTTTTCTGTAGCACGGAGCTTCTCAAGAGGACTTCATCCGAGGCAGCCGGGAGGAGAACGTCCGGGACGTCGTGTACGACATCGCCAGTCAGGCTCACCTACATCTACAACACGTATGTACCCAGAACCAGGTTGATGAGCCTCCACTCACTGCCCTGAATTGATTTCTCCACTCTCTGCGGTTTTTTTTCATTAAGGCGCCTCGCTGCCCAATCATTCATCAGCATTTCTGTTTTATTTGAACCTTGTTTACTCCAATTAAGTCATCTCTAACTGGGCTTATACGGCGTAAACTATATTTACTTCCTCCTCAATGCTTTTAATGTCTTTATGAAGTCGTCTCCTGACAGTTTGAATTAGAGAGACAGAGAGAGGAAGACATTAGGACATCTAAAGGTTGTGCATTTAAATCTACATCACAATGATAATAAAATGAAATGAAAATACAAGACATGTTTCTTTCTTTTTAATGATTGATGTCATCATAACTGTGTTATTCTGCACTAAAGACATGTTCTAGTTCTCTACTTCTAGTCATGATGGTTCTGTTTCCATAGAGGAGCAGGACTTTTATTTTGAAGAGAGAATCAAGACCTGAGATGTGACTGCAGCAAAGAAACACCCCGATACGCTTTGAGGGTCAGAGGGTTGAAGTCTTATTACTTCACTAATGTTGGTGTTTTCTAAAAGCACAAAGAGATTCAACCGGTTTCCTGCTGCAGTGTTTCTGTGTGCATGTGAGACCTCTAGAAATAAGGCGGGAAAATGCACGTTTTCTCGCGTGTTTTAGAAATAGTGTGGAGACAGTCAGAGAATCAGTCGGCGTTAACCTACTTTGTCTCTCTCGCTCTGTCCTTCAGGCACGATCATTTAGCAACAACGTCCCAAAAGCTGCCAATCTGGCCTTCCTCCAGACGGTGAGTCTTAAAGAGCCAAATACGATAACCTGACAAACTGAGTAGTAGTAGTAAAAAATCACAGACAATCTCAAAGCTAATGTCTTCTGAGGACTGAAGGTGTTCAAAGCTTCATGTGTTAAAGCTGCATTCTCTCTAGTATCCACCAGAGATATATCTATCTATCTATCTATCTATCTATCTATCTATCTCTCTATCTCTCTATAGATATATATCTATATATATCTATATAATTTTCAAGAAGTCTAGTAGTAGTACCGTCTCTGTGTAGTAAACAACTGCCAAATCAAATAAAGAAAGTACACATCAATTATATTTTAACAAATATTATTCTAATTTTTCAAATTTAACTGGATGGATTATAAATAATACATAGAAATACATAAATAAATGTTCTTCTCATTTCAAGTAAAATAACAGCTGGATTAAAAAATAAATTACTTAACGAAATTCATTTTAGCAAAATTATTTTCACTGAATTGCCCTGCAGCTTTAAACTCATTCATTCAGGGTGGAGTGATGAAGCCACAATATTATATATTTCTCATCTTCCAAAAAGAGAAATGAGTGTTTAACTGGACAGACTCATATAGGTGAATTCTTCAGAGTCTAATGGCTCTCGTCTCTCTGGCCATTTCTCTCTTTTGGAGATCATCCTATGATTTGACTTTCACGACTCACACCTCAATAAATAGTCCTACTCTGCTCATATGTCCTCGTCTCCCCCCCGTGTGTCACGGTGTGTGTACATCTCACTCAAGTCAGGAAACTTGTCAGAATACCCATATTTGATTGGCTGAGCTTCATCACGTGATGTGATCCACAACGCATTGGTCGGTGTTTTTCCTGCACCGCTGAACAAGTGCCGTAAATGCTGGAATAACTCCCCTGCATAAAAAATGCCCTTCAAAATAAAATCACTTTTTTTTTTTTTTTTTTTTTTGTCGTCAGGCAAAGGCCCGCGACCCACTGAAAACCGGTCCGTGACCCACCAGTTGAGAATCACTGCTTCAGGGCACTAGAGACATATTAATTTCAGGCAGCATTTAAAATACTGATTTGTTTATTGATAAATGTACTTAATGATTTAAATTGACTTCTATAATACACGCAATAGTTTTTGACCTCTTTCTGTGTGTTTTCTGACTTTTAGTCTAAGTTGAAACTTCCTTTAGACAGCAGGGAAACATCACTATTATTAATATTACATTCCATTCCTGATCCCCCTAAATACTTCACTGTGGCCCTTTAAAACACAATGCTGCTTATTTAAAAACACATTTATATTTGTGTTTTAAACATGGCGTAATACAACTACTCATGTTCTCTCTGTTTTTCAGTAAAAATAGTCTTTCAGAGGTCGTTTTCTGCTGATAAAGAAACAGATTACTAATTTCAGTTTTCAGTAAATGAGTTTCCTTTGTGATGAGCAGCTCAGTAGAGCATACGTCCATAAACATGCTGAGAAAACACTGAAGGTGTCCTTCTGCCTGCACACAGTAAGAAAACCACTCTGCTCCTCCTGAATGTGGAAGTCAGATGTTCACGCTGCAGTTGGTTCTCTGCAGTGCAGCCGTGTGAACGTGTGAACATGTGAGCGTGTGAGCGCGATGCAGCCGCTCAATGCTTTCTCACCACGCTGAAAATGTAATTCCAGATGAATCTCATGTTGGGATGCAGGAAACACAAGAGAGGAAGCTGGTCTGCAGCTCTCTTACTTTAACACACAAAGCTTTATTTAAACCTCGCTGAGGAGACAAATGTCTTGCAGATAAGTTGTAGTTTTATTTTATGAAACTTCTCTCATGAAACTGAGATGAGCTCAAAGGAATAAACTGAAAAATGACATTTGATAAGAATCTCTAAAGACAGAAGTCTGTTTCCAGACCTCCAGTATATTTTTTATATATATATATATATTTGTTTTTTTTTTGTTATTATTATAAATAGGTCTGGTTTTCATTGAGATTGAGAATGCCAGTATTTTACTCCTACCATTAATGAACTCTACCAACTGGATACTTAACTTAAAGAACTTAACTTTTTCTGAGCCCGAGGAAAGTTTCACTAATTAAAAACAAACGTTTTCATAAATTCAGAATACAAATAGTTGTTTGTGGTGCAGTACCACGAGTGGCCTCATGTACAGCTGGTGGCGCTGTTTCCACATCTCTATTAATAATACACAAGATAATAACCATAGAAACAGAATAGGAGTAAGTCGGACATTTAACTGTTTTCTGTGGTCATTCGACTTGTACAAAAGAAACATGGTTGTCGCTGATGATTGTAGCTAGGCTAATATTAGCTTGACCGTTACACCGAGCATTAAAGTGGTGGAATTAGCAAGCTAGCTAGCTAGCTAACCAGCTGCCTGCCATCAGAATCGGAAACGGTTTATTGCCAAGGAAGGAATTTGACAATAAACAGTGCAATAGTATAAAGACATAATATACAATAGAATATGACAAAGAAACGATATAAGAGTAAATTAGTTAGCCAGCTAATTCCACACTCGTTAGACGATTAGCCGCTCATCTTTGCGCTTTTAAAGCAGACTCTTCTTCTGTGGTGTTGTGTGCTGCAGGTGGTGTTGGAGGACTACCTGCAGCGAGTGAGGAGGGCAGATTTTGATATTTTCCACCCGAATCTGAAGAAGAGAAACCCCCTCGTCCCCTTCCAGCTGTACCTCCGGTCCTGGAAGAAGTCCTACTGACGTCAGCCCTTCCTCCTCCTCTTCCTCCTGTGATGCTGCCTCTTTGGGGGATTCTGCCTCGAAGACTTTCAGGAGGTTGACAGAGAAATCTAGACTTGTTTTGAACCACAGTGAAGTCTGCCTCCTCAATAAAACCACAAACCTCCTCCGGCTCTCACACCAGCCAGAGTTCCCAGGAGACCAGTGTTTCCACCACAATACAATATTATGTTCCCTGAATGTACGAGTGTAATTTCACCAGATGTTTTATGCAAAAATAAAGGATAATTTTGGTGTATTTGTTTAGTTTCAACCTTCATTTCTATCGGTAATAATTACATCGTAACTTCCTGTGTTTGTTTGACTCATCCACCAAACAAATAACGTTTATTTAAACAATCAACACAATGATGAAGGCAAATGACCAGCTAGTACAAACTGTAAACCGTGCTTTGCTGTTTCATTTTTACCTCTTTACTTAAGAGTTCATTAAACTTATCTTCTTTTTACAGATCACATGATGTAAAATCACGCCAAAGGCATGAGTGGCGTTTTTTTATTGCTCGCTAAATGGCTTCAAACTAAATTGTCGTGTGTCAAACTCGGTTAAATAAACAAAGCAGTCAGAGTGAAATCATTTAACAGTCGTTTAAATTAATCATCAATCTTTACTCAACTCCCCATAATGAGGAAAACTCCATTTCTCTTCAATCACCTCATTTGATTTCTCCTCATTTCGATTGGAGTCCAGCTGAGATCAATTTAACTGATTGGACCACACGGACTACACACACACACACACACACGGACCACACACACACACACACACCCCTGTTTACACAAGGTCTCTCAGCCATGAGGTTTTCCAACATTTATGTTTCGTAGATGTCGATGTTGACGATTCTTTATATAAATATGCAGGTGGATGTAAAACGAGTGGAAGGTTTTTTTATGTTTATTTTTTCATTTTTATGTGTTGTTTAAAATACATATGTTAAAAAAAGTGTGTGTGTTTGTAGGAAAATATAATATATTGTCTGTTTGAACACGGTTTCCATCCTTTTTGAGATCGGACAGGTTGAACGTTCTTCCTGAAGAGAAAACAATTTGTTTGTGAGATGCGTCTGCTTTCATGAGTCGTGTCCTCTGCATTCTGATTCTGTTGGTCTTTCGGCTTCCTCCTGTTTCTGTGTTTGTGTTTATTTATGGGTTTAAAACCTCGGGGTGGAAACAACCAGTGGGCTGACATTCACAGAAATACTGATACATGTGTGATGTCCTTTTAAAATGATAAACACGAAGACAAAGAAATGAGATTTAAGATGGAGCCTGTTTCATGTTTTGTCGTGTTGAGTTGTTTTTGGAAGGAAGGCTTTTTATTTTATTTGTTTCTAGTGTGAAGGTAAATGTTAGAAGGTCACAAAACAGACACGACACAAAAAGTTACATAACTAACGACCTTTTGTGACTCAACAGCTGTATGTTTTTATATTATTTATGTTCATACTGTCGAGATGGAAACAGACGTTCTCCATTCTGTTTTGCTGAAAAGAAAAGCTTCTTTAGAAACCAACAAGCAAAGATCAATCGATCGATTAAGATTATCTATGAAGCACATTTCAAACGAATCAAATGCAATTGACAAAAGACAGAAACAAGACAGAAATGGACAGAAAATTAAGATTGAGTTAACAAAATTTCAAGAAGTTTTACCAGTCTGCCATCTGCAGCTTCACCACTAGATGGCGCCACATGTTAAACACTGCATCTTTAGGGTGTTGTCGAAAACCTGAAGCAGCCAAAAGAAAAATATTCTGTAATGCTCTCAATCCTGGCTCACTTCCTCTAAAACACACCTGCATGTGGTCACAGCTCCTAAAACGACTCCAAACGCTCGCCGGGCGAGAAGGTGGCGATAAAAGCAACGATTCATTAAATACCACAGAAGAAGATTCTGGGCATGCTCAGAGAGCTTGTTTTCCTTTGGCGATGTAAACGAATAATAAACAGTAAAGCAATAGCGAATTATGTCTTTATTTGTATAAAGTTAATATTTGGTGCTATATTATGGCGAGAACGAAAGTCGACCCGTGTGGACGGACGACGAGGTGGAGTCACTGCTTAGCCTCACTTTAAAATATAAGAATATAAAATATTGAGATGAAAACACAAGAAAATGTTGATTGTGAGTCTTGTTATAGGAAATATTCAGACATCTCGGTGTCCTTTCAGGAACAACCTCCTGCTACTGAAGACCCTGAGAAGTTTCCTCATGAAAAGACACAATAAACATGGTAATAGTATTTAGCTCAAGAACCGTTGGGAAAGTTTCATGTAAAATAAATATAAATATTTATGCCAAATTGTGTTATGTTGCTTCTTGTAGACCGACGTTTTCAAGAGCTCCGACTCCTAAATTGTGCGAGGACACTCGGGTTCGATACCGGCTTCACCACTGCTGTGAAATAAATGTATGACAGTAATTCATTTTGAAACAACTGGTCTTAAAGGTGACCAAATAATGAGACACATGAGTGGTGCAGCAAAGTTCAAATGTAAAGGGGTCATTAGAACCAAAACGTAAACAATCCGGTAGTCCACCATCTTTGTTTCCGTTTCTGGTTTATGCTCATTGCACAAAACAACAAAGGGCCATGCGCGAATCGGGGAAGACGACGTCATCGTTTCCCTAAACGCTCCGTTTTACACGTCCACACGGATACAAAGTAACCAGTGACTCACTGATGACTGGCCTTCAGCCTCCCGTATGACGTCTCTGCAGAGATGCACTGATGCTGTTGTTGACAGCAGGAGCATGCATTAGTCCACTTTACAGACACGCTGGTCACTAATGCCTGACACCGCTGCACAAAGACGCCGACGCGCTGAGAATGAAGCTGCAGCTGTGATGGAGGCGACGGTTTGTCTGTGGAGAATCTGATCTTTAATACGTCTGTGGAGGCTTCACTGTTGCTGCTGCTGCTGCTCTCCAATCGGAGAGCAGCACAATGTGATGGTTATACAACAGTTGGGTTTTGGAAACCTTTACACACGAATAAACGACACGAAAAAAGCAAAAATACTCTCTTAGAAATATTAAATGTTCAGGGCTTTAATGGTGAAAGGTAAGAAAGGAGGGAGTGGATCTGGTCTGCGTTGCCTTTGTCAAAGTAGAAAGGAGATATAAAGTTTATTTGTACTGACCAGGCACCAACTTCCGGTACTGAAATATAAAGCCAAAGCTTCATGTGTTAAAGCTGCATTCTCTCTAGTGTCCACCAGGGGGCGACTCCTCTGGTTGTATAGAAGTCTATGAGAAAATGACTCTACTTCTCTCTTGATTTATTACCTCAGTAAACATTGTAAACATGAGTTTATGGTCTCAATCTCTAGTTTCAAGTCTTCTTCAACACAGCATGATGTTCATTTAGTAACTTATGGTCCATTTAGAGTCACACAGACCATAAAGCAGGGGATGCTTTAGGGGCGGGGCTACACAGTGATTGACAGGTCTCTACCAGAGACGTATAAGTCATTGTGACATCAATCCTCCTCAGTCCAGATGTGGTTACTTCCTGTTCACTGGTTGCAAAAATCAAGATCGCAACCACAGACTGTATATAAGAAGTGCACGTAGTCGTTGTGACTGATGCTTTGAAGCCTTGAGTTCGGTGTTTTGGCCGTCGCCATCTTGTTTTTTTGCAAACAGAGAACAGAAGTGGACCATATTTGGACTGAGGAGGAGGCGCAGCTCAACCCGTTCTGCAACGTGATTGGTGGATGAAGTCACTTTTTTTGCTGCGTAACCTTTTGCGCTCTGTGCGAAAGTATTTCTGACAACAGCAAAAAATTTAAGAAAATATATTGACGAGCAAATTAATCGCATGAAAACAAAAAAAGGCCGTGTTAAAAGTCCTTTAAACTCTGTTCACTAAACATCCAATAAACTCTTGTTTTCAATACTTCTTCTGATTAAACGTCTATGTGGAGCTTATTGACACTGTTTGTATATTTAGAGAATGAGCTGAAACAGTTTGAGGACATCTTGTCTCTTCTCATTGTTCCGTCTTAAAAAACGTATTATCCATAATTGTGACAAATGAAATCCTCTTCCGGGCTCTGTTCTTTAAGGGTCATCATGTTCTGACTGTAAGCAGCTTACGAGGCAGAGATTTTTAATTGGACCGTCTGAAACGCTCACCGTTTAGCGGAGTGCGGAGGCACACGTCAACATAATTGGTTCGATAAGGCGCTGCTTTCTGCATGCCTTTGATTCCTGCAGCGACTCAGACACTCACAATTATTTTCACTCTTTGTATTTATTGAAAACACTTCCACATAATGAACTCAGAGGTAACGCTGTGAGGCTTCGACACCAGTACAGATGAAGCTGAATGCAGGTTATTTAAAGTCTGAGCGGACGCAACAACATGTGAAACGTCTGTTCTGTGTAAATCACTGGTGAGTTTGTGTTTGAAGGTTGTTTCCTTAATGAAAACTCCATTTGTTGCTCAGTTGATACAGCACAAATATGAAAACACATGATGGGAACGAAAGGTTTGCTGACTCTGAAGAAGCTGCTTTTTATTCTTAATGAGAGAAAAGTGACACTTTATTTTATTTTTACCAAAGTAATAAGTTATCAAAAACAAAATAAACCCAGAGGAACATGATGTACACAGTATTAGCTTTCAGTGCACAGGATACAAAACATATACACTTTAATTAATGAGGAAAATAAAACCGAGCAGCTGTGAAGTGTTACAGACTGCAGAACATAAACATATTCACATAAACTCAGGTCAGAACATGAGATCAAATGATTGCATTAATGGGTCAAAAAAAAGCAAAAGTAAAGCAAAAAATTAATAAAAATACCGTCATGAAAATAATAATAAAATGATAATAATACAAAAAGGGAGGGGGGGGGCATGTTGCTTCCATTTTAAAAGGATCAAACCTGAAAGACATCTTAAGTTGACAGAAACAACTAACATGTTACGATTAAAGTAATAAATATTATAGATATTATATAATCCTCATTGAAATACTATGAACTTAGTTTGAAATCTACAAGAAAATACAAAATAAAACATTTTCTGTGCAATTCTGCAGATGTGTTCAGATACTGATTCCAGGAAAAGTAAAGTAGACCTCACACACACACACACACACACACACGCACACGCACACAGACACACAGACAGACAGGCACACACACACACACAC